ATTGGGGTTGCTTATTTTTGCTTTTGTACTCGAAAAGTATTCCAGTGTGTGCAGCAACTACATACAAATAATAGAATTTTGAAGTCCTCTATCACCATAAATATCTTTGGTGGATTGGTGTTTTTTAGATCGGTCATTTTAGCAGAATAGATAAAAATATCACTTTGGTAATGCACATATCAAACAGGATCTATTTCTTAAGATAACATATAATAAACTTTGGAGATATAATTGTAGTTAGCAGAAGTCATGAGACGTATGTATGGTTTCTCAAATGGTTGTGGCTGGTTTGACAATAATCCTAGAATATCGTAATTTCTCACACAAGCTTTTCTCTATATTGACTGCAAAGTTATAAAGACATTAATTACTTTCGTTTGGGAACTGGGAAGTACAAATTAAATAGATACAGTAGATTACACGGATTTGATCTAGCTTTTGTCTTGATTTAGTTTCAATCACGCTCATCTTCTACAGAGCATCCATTGAATCTGTGCTGCAGGTTTGGAAATCTACTGTTCAAATCCACAACACAAATATTGAACTTGAATTGATTTATGAGCAGACAGACCAGAAGCCTCCTCTCTGATCCTACACGTGCCCTGAACCCCGTTGAACTCTGGGAGGAGGTACGGAGTAGATAGAACTCATTCAAATCTGTTTCTGTGAATGTGTTCATTAAGGAGTGGAATTGAGCGTGTAACAATGTAGCAGACCCATGTGTCGGTCTGAATTAAAACATTAAAAAAGAGAAACAAATATACACATCCTTAATCTCGGAAAGGTGGGGGTCTTTATTTCTCAAACATGGATGAATCACTGGATGAAGAGGGGGTACATAACTTTAAGAGAAGGGAGAATGAGAATATCACAGTTTTAACAGCTGTTTAAAGTTCAGAATGCACAATAAACATACAGAAGCTTCTATAAACAATAGTGTTGATTTGCTGTCCATTGAATGTCACTTTATCTACTTATTACTCTGCTCTATATTGAAAGATTGATGTAGAAGCATTTACAGCTAGCTAAGAAACATAGCAGCTACTTATTTTGTACATTTTGTCCTGTATATGCACTGCAACATTGAAATTTCCCCACTGTGGGATGAATAAAGGATATCTTATCTTATCACTCAATGAATTATAAAATGTTTGTCGTGTGTGCAAGATCACTGTCCCTGTGTTATGATAAATACCTCCACACACACAAGCAAACAAATAAACAAACAAGCAAACAAATAAATACATGCATGCAAGCACACACACACACACGCACACGCACATACACACACACACACACGCACACTCACACACAGGGAGGGGCAGTGACGGATGGGAGCGGACACTTGGGTCAGCATCAGCAGGGCTTCACTTAGACAGCACTCGTATTCTTTTACATCACCTTGACTCTGCAGATGGAGGTGACCCAGAGCATCTCTGGTCCAACTGCAGACGGAAGACAAGCCGGGGCACAGCGACATGTATGAAAATGTGCAAAAAGAGACATGCAAAGGCGATAACTGTGACAAATTGAGAAAGTGGATGTTAAACAGCTGAATGTATGCATGAGTGGAGCATCAAGATATGGGTTGGAAGCAGAGGGGCTGATTGCAGACTTATCTCTTTTGTGGATATTTCCACAAAATGTGCAAAATGTCCAATGTGCCAGGACTGGAACATCTGTATTTTCCTTTATCCCTCTTTTTTCCAATCAAATCAAACATTGATATACATACAGAGAATGTTTGAACTCTATACTCATTCATGTGTCTCGCCTGGAGGTTTCTGCAGCATGCAGGTCCCTAATTGTGATTTTCTGCTAATTGTCAATTCAATTTTACAGTCTATCAGAGCACACCCCAGACACCAGCTATACCACAGTTTATGTTTACCAAAACAAAATGTACGCCACATTGGAAGCACATGTTCAGGACACAATTTTGAGCATTAATGTGAGAAAGTCCAACTACATTATAGGTTTTGCATATGAGTTTTTAAGTTTAAGTTTCTTACCGGTGGTGAGGCAGGACCGGTATTATAATAGATCCATGGGAAGGACGCGGCTCTGTGTCTTCTGCACTAGCCTGGCTGCGCAGGTTGGCTTATTCACAAACTGTTCCATCGGCTTTTAGCCTCAGCTCTGCTGCAGCCGTGTTTGCTCTGGTCGGGGCAAAATCCTGGCTCTCCTGGTCCCTCTGTCTCTGTTTTTCTTGAGAAAGGCGTTCTAACTACCAGAACGATATATTCATCTCCTTCAGCCGTAGAGGGTTGAAAAACTAAAACTCATGCTATACATATTAGCATTTGTGTTTGTTTCTGTTTATCACATGGACGTAGATCCATGCGGTCAGCATTGTCACGTCTCTGTATCGGTTATCCAATCAAAAGGCATGCAATGCTCTGACGCCACGCAGGGCCTTCGAGCTGGCCCTCAGGAAACAGACTTGACGCTAATTGGTCAATTTTACAGGTTTGTTTTCATTGACTATAAGCTACCGGGGGCCAGCACTGCAGACTGTGATGGCAACAAAGGTACCAAAAGGAGGGGGCACATAACTCTGGTGGTGGTGGATATTGTAGGTAGGTGTCAGTGATGTCAAGAGTTTGCGCCAAATTTGCTGATTGTAGTTTGGTAATGCCGGCGAATGCCATTGTAAAGTAATCTGTTCTGATTCGGCTCCAAATAGCAAGAAATTGAAGCTGGAGCAAGAGGAATGTTTAGCACGTTTCATTGCTGGCGAAGATGTTTTGGCTCTACTCCCCACGGGCTTCGTTAGTGGCAAAGGAGATGGCTAAAGCTAGGCTAAATGATAAATGCCTTTCCCACTCAGGTGCATTACATACGTCAGAGTAAACTCAGATCCAATTGTTTCAATCTGCAAAAAGAGTTAACCTTTTAACCACCTGTTAACGGAGTCAATGGAGCAAATCCAGAGCTAAGTACAAAATGAAATGAGTATGATGATGTGGTAAGACAAGGATAATGCTGAGAGGCCTGGTGAACAGTGGAATTCAAACTAGAAAAACAAAAACGCACACCAAGTTCTTCTCATGAGGTGCATGTGCTGGAGCAGAAATTAAATGTATTGGAAAATACACAGCACACTCGGATAGATGTCCAAAAGATCTAGTATTTATTACGTTTCGGCCTTAGCCTTCGTCAGATCATTTTTATCTTATTCATTTGGATCACAATATACAAAATGGTGCCAACCCAGGTGCTATAAGCCCCTTCTAACAAGTGGGAGGTCCCAGTGTGGTGACACCCAGTGAATTCAGCCAGTCTAAAATCAAAAAGCAGAATTAATACATAGAAGAAATCAACTTATAAAATGTATACAGATAATCATAAGAAACATCTGGGGTCAAAGTCCACATTTAGTCCATAAGGAGCTAAAGTCTTTAAGTGATGGATCCAAAAGTGCTCTCTTTTAGACAAAAGCACTTCCAGGTTTCCACCTCTTGGGGGTAGCGTTACATGTTCAATACCAATATATCTTAATGAAGAGATTGGATGATTGAATTCTGTAAAATGAGCTGCTACAGGGTAATTTAAGTTTTTGCATCTGATAGTGCTTCTATGTTCTGCAATACGTGTTTTTAAAGCCCTGCTGGTTTTTCCTACATAGGCTTTACCACAAGGACAAGTGATCATGTAAATAACAGATTTTGTATTGCAGGATATAATTCCTTTGATGGGTATAACTTTACCAGTGTGGGGATGCTTGAAATTGGTGCAACGATAGGTGTAATTGCACTGACTACATCCACCACACCGGCGTTTGCCATCAGGGATAGGAGTCAGGATAGTTTGGCCTGTAGTGGTTGGATTTGGGGGAAGATAGGAATGTACAAGTCTATCCCTCAAGTTTCTTCCTCTTTTGTAGACCACCAGGGGCTGCTCTTTAAAAGCTCCCCCCAAGGCTGAATCAGTCTGTAGTATATGCCAGTGTTTTGATATAATCTTTTTGAACTGTTCAGCAGGTTTAGAATAAACAGTAGAGAATATAGTCCGTTTTGAGGCAGTTTTTGGGGGATTTACCCTAAGAAAATCAGATCTTGGCTTACCCTTGATTTTTGTGGCAGCGTCATTCAGAACAGTTTTTTTATATCCTCTTTGCTCAAAGTTTGTCATCATGTTGCCGAGATTTCTTTCAAAGTCTTCATTATTGTGACATATTCTCCTAAGCCTACAAAATTGGCTGTATGGGAGACTATTTTTCAGTGGAAGTGGATGGTTGGAGTCGGCTCTAAGTAATGAGTTTCTTGCTGTAGGCTTTTTGTATAAGTCCGTATACAGCTCTAATAATCCATAAATCCAGAAAACTCAAGTGCGCTTGATCAAAGTCCATGGAGAATGATATAAATGAGCAGCAGGAGTTCAAATATGTAAAAAACGCTTCAAGTCTTTGTTTTGTACCCTTGAATAAGCAAAATACATCATCCAAATATCTCTTCCACATGCACACATTTTGTTTGAATTCATAGTCACAGTAAATGAACTTTTCCTCAAATAGGCCCATATACAAGTTACAGAAGGATGGTGAAAATGGCCTACCCATAGGTACTCCATGTTTCTGGATATAAAAGGTATCTTGGAAAACCCAATAGTTGTTGTTTAGTATTAACCATGCCATATCCAAAATGGAGTTTATAGAGGGTACCTCAATATTTGTTTTTGAGACTTAATGCTTCATAGCCTCAATACCTCCATCATGTGGTATGGAAGTGTACATAGCATTTATATCAAAAGAGACCAAGTACCATTCATCTTCGCTGGATATAAAATCTACAGATTCAATCATGTTTATTATATGCCCTGTGTCCTTAATGAAAGAAGGCAATGTCTCAACGGCAGGTCTTATAATGCTATCCATAAGAATGGATAGGTTAGGAGTCCGGCAAGATGGCGACCGCATAGGCAGCACGGTCGAGAGCTCTGAGACCTTTTCAACTTATTTAACCTTTCGTGTGGTCCAAAAAGACTAAAGAGTTCCTGTTATGAGCATCGATGACTATTTCAAGAAAACTGCTGTCAACATGCCAAAACCACAGAGGGGAAGGAAGACTGAAGGAGGCGATGAAATCCTGCACGCTATCCAAGAAGCTAGCCGCGGAGATGCTAACACTAGCTCTGGCCCTACGGCAGTAACATCTGATGCTAACGCCATCATACATGCTCTCACAGCGGTCATAGACAGCAAACTATCCGGTGTCACTGAACAGATTGAGAAAATGGAGACGTCCGTGACACACACGGTGGATAAAAAAATAGCTGATGTCACACAAATGATTGAAACAAAGCTGGCCTCTGTGCTGGAAGCCATCGCCGCCCGAGGATCTGAGATACAGGCCCTAGCCGCGAGAATGGATATCGCAGACAAGCAAATGGAAGCCATAGACCAGACTGCAGCTGCATCCGAAACCAAAATCGTAACATTGGAAAAACAAATCAAACAACTAAAAGAGCGCACTGACCAGCTGGAGAATCACTCCCGGAGATCTAACCTCAGAATACTGGGAATAGAAGAACGTGTAGAGGGGACAAACGCGGTGAAATACCTTGAGAGGTGGATCCCCGAGTACCTTCATCTTGACACCGCAGACGATAGGATTGTCCTGGACCGAGCCCATCGCACACTGGGTCCGATGCCATCAAGCGGACAGAGGCCACGTCCCTTCATTGTCAAATTCCACTACTACTCCGATAAAGCCCGAGTGATGGAAGCCGCACGCAAACTCCTCCACCAGAACGGGACCCCGCGTCAACAGAGGATCCTCTTCTTCAACGATTATTCAGCGGAGGTCGTCCGTAAGCGTAAAGCTTACGACGTTGTGAAAGCTCGACTCCGGGAGTTGGAAGTGGAATACGCGCTGTTATACCCAGACATCTTGAGGGTGAACACTGATGATGGAAAATACCGGCGCTTCTCAACCCCGGGTGAGGCCAACGTGTATGTTCGCACTCTGGAGCTGGCGCGTGCCCCGCCTTCTCTCTCTGCAGAAGGTGACTGACTGATGAACAGCTGATGGTATGTTGGAAGATTAGCCTCCATAATACGTGAATACAATATGTTGTTCTTCAAAGTACAGGGTTCTTTTTGAAGTGATAATGTTATGTTTCTAGACCACACAAACTATATTATTTTTTAGATAGAGCTCAAGTGTAGACCATAGATAGTGGAAGCAGTCCTCTGTGGGTCTCAGTCTACCCCGAGCACAGCTCTGCTTTGGCACTGCCAGTTCTTTTTTGCGCAGTGCTTTGCCTTTCTTTTTTTTGGATGTTTTGAATTTGTTCCTTTTTCTTTGTTTTCTTTTTGTTCTCGAGCTGTTTGGAGCTCTGTTCCTCTCTCTCTTTACATAAATGTTAGACTAATGTTGACAAAGATATCACTTGCTCATCCTAATTTAATGTTTTGTTTTTTTCTTAAATTTATTTATTTTTGTCTTAATAGTTTTAAAATGAGTGATGGCTAAAACAGGATATTTAAACTGCATATCACTAAATGTCAAAGGAATTAATAATCCAATTAAAAGGAAAAAAATCATAACTTATTTAAAAAAACATGAGACAGATATTGCATTCATCCAAGAAACACATCTCACTGATATTGAGCATACAAAACTGAAACGCGACTGGATTGGTAACGTCTATTACTCCTCGTTTTCATCAAGTGCTAGAGGTGTAGCATTACTCATAAACAAAAAACTCAGATTTCAATTAAACGCTGTACAAAAGGATACCTCAGGTAGATTTATATTAGTTGACTGCATGATTAATAGGAACAGGTTGACACTGGTATCATTATATGGTCCTAATATAGATGATCCAATTTTCTTTAATAACTTAACCATGAAACTTGCATCCGTAGAGGGTCAATGTATTATGGGAGGAGATTTTAATCTTGTGTTGAACCCGTCATTGGATCGCTCAGCCCCCAAGAACACTATTCTGTCAAAATCTGCAACAGCATTGTGTCAAGGCATGAGTGAACTTGGGTTAAAGGATGTATGGAGATCGCAAAACCCGGGTAGAAAAGAATTCTCCTTTTACTCTAATGTTCACAATACATACTCTAGAATTGACATGTTTTTGATCTCACAAACACTATTGTCTCACATTAAAACATGCCGTTATTTAGCTGCAACCTTGTCAGATCACAATGCCCTAGTGATGGAAGTATCTATGTCACAGGAAGGACCTACCTCGTATAGATGGAGATTTAAAACATTCTTGCTTAAAGATCCTGATTTTATAAAATTTATGAACGACAAGTTAGACATATATTTGGAGACTAACTTAAACACTGCTTCTCACTCAATTGTGTGGGACACCCTTAAGGCATATATGAGAGGTCACATTATCTCATTTTTATCCCATAAAAACAAACAGAAGAGAGATCAATTATCACAACTAGAACGTGAAATAAAAATACTTGAAACTCAACATTCCCAAACCAAAAATCCTGAAACCTTTAGTGCATTAAAACAAAAACGGACTCTGTATGATAATTTTTGCACCAACAAAGCTGAAGCAGCCATGGCAAGAACAAAATATCATTACTATGAGTCTGGCAACAAAACTAGTAAGTTGCTTGCCTGGCAGCTAAAGCAAGAAGATGCAGAAAAATTTATACAATGCATCAAAACCGATGATAACCAGTATTTAGAAGGCTCTAAGGACATAAACTTGGAATTCAAAACATTTTATGAAACATTATATAAAACAGAGCAGGCAACGGAAACAGAAATTAAAACCTTCCTTAATAAATTACCAATACCTAAACTAACAGCTGCAGATAGGAAACTACTAGATGAAGCGATTTTAGAACAAGAGGTTCACCAAGCCATCAAATCCTTACAAAATAATAAAGCCCCAGGACCTGATGGTTATCCAATTGAATACTACAAAACCTTCTCAGAAAAATTATTAACACCTCTAACAAATATGATCAGAGAGTCATTCCAAAAAGAAACACTTCCAAAAATACTGGAGTTGGCAACAATTACGCTGCTTCCAAAACCTGGAAAGGATCCACAAAAGTGCAGCAATTATAGACCCCTCAGTCTCCTTAACTCTGATTATAAAATTTTATCAAAAATCATCGCTCAACGCTTGGAGAAAGTAGTCCCCAAAATCATTAACGCTGACCAAACGGGTTTCATCAAGAACAGACAAGGTGCAGATAACGTTCGGCGACTACTTCATGTTATAGAACACACAAAAAAACATGACCACCCCGCCGTGTTCGTCTCAATGGATGCCGAGAAGGCGTTTGATAGGATAGAACCAAGCTTTCTTCTTGAGACAATGAGGGCAATGAACTTTGGTGAAAATTTTCTGTGTTTCATTCGTACCCTATTTGGCGCCCCTAGGTCGCAGATACTAACAAATGGAGTCCTGTCGGATGCCTTCTCTTTATCTCGGGGCTGTCGTCAGGGCTGCCCTGTCTCTCCCGCGCTTTTCTCAATTGCAATAGAACCACTGGCTATTGCCCTGCGATCAGACATATCTATTACCGGCATAAACATTGGAACGGAAGAGCACAAACTCGCACTCTATGCAGATGACTTGGTAGTATTTATATCTCAACCTGTCACATCATTTCCCTCGCTAATGACTAATCTAAAAAATTACAGTGCTGTATCGGGATACAAAATTAATTACTCTAAAAGTGAAGCCTTCCCAATCAACATGACAAACCACGACATAAGTCTACTTCCGGTTCCTTTTAAATGGTGTACGGAGGGCTTCAAATACTTGGGAATCACTATCTGTAGCTCTTGTGACAAAATATATGAGGAAAATTACGCCTTTTTACTTACTAAATCTAAAAAGATCTACTGAGATGGATGGACCTCCCCTTATCATTGATTGGCAGGATTAACACAATAAAAATGAATCTATTACCCAAATTTATTTACCTATTCCAGTGTATACCACTGAAGGTTCCTATATCCTTCTTCAAGGAATTGGACAAATCACTTACTTCCTTCTTGTGGCACAACAAACTACCCAGAGTCAAACTCCTCACATTACAGGCACCTTATTCCAAAGGCGGCTTGAATCTACCAAATTTCAGATTGTATTATCTGGCTGCGCAGCTTCGCGCTCTATGGATGTGGTTTCACTGTAAAGCAGATGAAGTAAAATGGTTGTCAATTGAACAATATGAAATCCAGGACACTCCGTTAACAGTCATTCCATTTTTGGAATCTAAAAAGAAACTAAAAACAATTACTCAAAACCCAATAATTTCCTCTACATTTGATGTCTGGCAGCAATTACACATATCAGTTGGACAAAACATAAATTTGTTGGTAAATTCACCACTCACAAATAATCCTAACATCCCAGCAACCTTAGCGGATGGAATTTTACAAAATTGGGTGAGAAAAGGAGTAAAAATTGTTGGTGACCTTTATACTAATAATGTCTTTTTAAGTTTTAGTCAAATGTTAGAAGTTTATGATATAGATAAACGTAACTTTTTCAAATATTTACAAATTAGAAGCTGGATCAAGAGTCAAACTAAAGCTATTTTTCCACACAGACCTGAGGAATCTTTACTTGAAAAATGCATTTTAAACCCCAAATGCAAGAGAACTAAAGGTTTAATATCTACTGTGTATAAAATCATAATAGACAACTTACCGGCTTATGCTAGATATTTAAACAAAACAAGATGGGAATCTGATCTTGGGTGTATTTATATGGAGGATAATTGGAATAGATTATTGAAATTGGCACAAACGAAATTGGTGTCTACTAAACACAGACAAATTCAATTCAATATTTTCCACAGAACATATTTTACACCATATAGGTTAAGTAAATTAGGAAACGACATCTCTGATCAATGTCAAAGATGCTCCATCTCTGTTGGAACCCTTGTGCACATGCTATGGAGTTGTACCCATCTGAAGCCATACTGGACTCACATCATCGCAGTGACCTCTCGAGTTTGTGGACAGGCTCTGGATGCTGATCCTCGGATTTGGTTGCTGGGAGATGTAACTTTACTAAAGGTGAACTCAAATCAGAAACATTTTTGTGTTATTAGCTGCAACAGCTGCCAAGAAGTGTATCCTGAAGGATTGGAAGAGTATCAATCCCCCCAGCCAAAGGCACTGGGCTAACAAATTTTTTCTCATACTGCACACCAGAAAAAATTATGCATGCTATCCGAGGAAAACTAGACGACTTTGAACTGACTTGGACTCCTTTTTTGAATATGCTGACTCAACTTGACATGACCACAGACTAGATGTAAAACTGTGTCTATTACTGTTTGTCTCTTTTTATGATTATTTATTTTATTGTCTTGCTGAGAGAGGGTTTTTATTTTTATTTTATTTTTGTTTATTTTTTGTTTTTTGTGTTTGTTCAAAAAAATGAAAACCATAAATAAAACATATAAAAAAAAAAAAACACACCCAACACCAACCACACCCTACAACCCCCCACATCCAACAACCCACACCACCCACACAACCCCCACCACCCCCAACCACCAACACACCCCCACCCCCCACCAAACCACAACACAACACCAAACCCAAAACAACCAAAAAAAAAAAAAAAAAACCCCCCCCAAAAAAACCCAACCACACAACACACACAAAACCAAACCACCCCCAACACAACCACCCACCCCACCCCCCAAAAATAAACCAAAACCCCCACCCCAAAACACAACCAAAAAAAAACAACACCCACACACCAACCAATCTAACACAAATAAAAAACAACAAAAACAAATAACAACAACCCCATACCTCAAATAAACAAAAAAAAAACCACCAAACAACCCAACAACTATCCCAAAAATCACCCACAAACCATCACTCACCTCCACAAAAAAATAATACAACCCCCAAACACAATTCCAAAAAAATCTATTATCAATAATTTTAAATAACCTACCTCCCATCACACACCCACCCAAACTTCCAATTATCCCTATAAAACACCTTCAAAAAAACTTTTCTCAAATTTTCCATACTATACTCTTTTTTATCACCTTTCTTTTTAACTACTTTCCCCCAACCTTCCATTACTTTTCTTTTTTCTCCTCTTCACTTACTCTTTCATTTTTTATTATTAAAAACAATATCCTCATCCACTATATCTAATAATAACTCAAATTTAATAAACATACATTATTTTCCATATCTCACCTCATTTTCTCCTTACTTCTCCCCCCCATAACATATCAACCCCCTATCAACACCCACAACCACCCTCAACAAAATCCCACTCAAACTTTTCCCCCTTATACTTCTCACTATACCCCATAACAACAACAACCCATACAACATACACCTCTCCCCTTCTATCTCTATAAAATCACCATAACCCCCCAACAATATCCATCAACCCTCCTTACCAACCACTACCACACCAAAACAATCTCCTTATATCACCTACCCCCTCCAATCAACAAACTCCTCTTCAAACCCCCCATCATCAACCCCCCATCCCTACACACTAAATCCACAACCATACATTATCCCTTCCTCTTTATCAATAACTAAACTTTAACCTATTAACCTATAAAATTTTCCTTAACTTCCCTAACTATTAATCCCCCTCACTCCACCCCAATCCCTAAATTTTCCTAACCACAAACAAATAACTAAAAATAATCCTACTTCCCCTCCCCCTTCTCACTCTTTATCTCCTCCATACATTACCTTCCCACTAAATACCTTTATCCCTAAATCCCATAACCACCATCCCCCCAAAAAACCCATCCACTCATTCATCTCCTCCAATTTATCATATTCTCACATCTCCCCCACTCAAAAATATTTCTACTAAAAATCAACCTAATTTTCATAACCCCTCTAAAACATTAAATACTCTCTCTCCCCCCTACCCTTCCTATAATTAATCTCCTCCCCTTCTCTTTTCATCTCTCTCTCCACCACATACCATACCAAACCAAAAACCCACAAACGTGTGTGTGTGCACAAAATTAACCCACTTCATTTCTTAAACTTACAAAAAAAATAATCTAAACACTTAAAAAAACAATAAACCACCTCTCCCCCACTATCTTCATAAAAAATAATAATATCTTTAAAAAACAAAAAACCAACTTAATTACTAAAATCTAAACAAACCCCCTCAATACCCCTTCCTCCCCAAATTCTAATACCCATAACCCAAAAAACATTATACAAACCCAAACACCCCCCCACCCAATAAACACCACACTCAACATTATTTCCCTAACCCTCAACAACCAACAAACCACCCACCTACTAAACTTCTATCAACACCAATATCAATCCCTCAAACATAACCCCCTCTTTCAAATCACTTTTACTCATACCATATCAATATCACCCATACACCCATACTAATCCATAATCTTATTCACACATTAAAATCACTCCCCTTACCTCAATAATACTTCCTCATTTCCATATAACAAAATAAAAAACAACAATAACCCATATCATTATAAAAACAACCCCAATCCATTCAAAACTTTCCCCTATTCCCACAACAAACAACTCAAATCTATCCATTCCAACCCCCTACCTCCTCACAATAAAACCCACCCCCCCCCTTACTCAATAAAACTATCTAATAATCATCCCCTTATATTTCCCCTTCTCATACAACTCCCACAAAATATCTTCTCTATTCCATTAAAATTCCTTCCAATAACAAAACCTTTAATTATCTATCCCCAATCATACAAAAAAACATACCAAACAAATCACTCCCATAATCAATAATAAATACCATACCCACATTTACTACATCTCACCCACCTAAACTTACAACCTACTCTTCTTACCCTCTATATAATATTATTTCCCAATAAAATCCTACTATATATTTTATATATACACATTCATCAATAAAAATTTATTTACCATCATTTTAACAATCATCACCAACAATCCTAACAAAATATATTTTATTCTAAAATACATATTTTATTTTCCTATTTTCTTTAAACTAATAACAATCAAAACTACTTCACTCCACCCCAACTTTTTTCCAAAATCCACCCCTCAAACTAATTAACCCCCCATCCACACACCACCCAACTAAACAAAAAAAAAAATATTCTTCAACTAATTAAAAAATACAAAAAAACATTATCCCCCACAAACAAACCCACTATCACACAATACCCTACACCCTTATCCACTCAATTCTACCCCCCCACCACCCCACATCCACACTCACAAAACAAACAAATATATACCTCACCAATACCACCCATTATTACCATTTCCCAATATCCTAAAAACCCCAAAATATTTTTTCCCCACCATCCCTCAATCTAATAAAAACTACATTCCCCCCAAAACCAACCCACCCCTACCTTCTCAACCACATATATCTAAATATTAACAAAATTCCCTCCTCCCCACCCTCATAATTTAACTTTAATTTACCACCCCAATAAATCTTCTATTCAATATCTTCAAACTAATACCCAAATCCTCACCTCTCCACCTCTAAATCCCTTCCCATCCCCACCCCCCCACACTTCACTAACACCTTTCTTCTCCATAAACACCATAATAAACCACAAATACTATTAAAACATCATCCCCACTAAACACCAATTTTATATTTAACTAAAATATAAAAAATCCCACAATCTATACTTATCCAACAAAAAAAAACCCTTAAATTCAAAAACTCACCAATACAATAATCAACTATTTATATATATCTCATTAATCATTGCTTCTCTTATATTACCTCAATTCTTATATCAATTTATTTTAATTACCTCTCTCAACCATACTCTTTATACCCCCTCTCACCTATTTTTTTTACCTCATACCTCAAACCCTCTCTTCCACTCAACTTATACTTCCTATTAACATATTAATCATTTAATTTACACCCTTCTATTTATTCCCATTCTCTTTATAATAAATATAATTCTAAACCTCTCACATTCATTTCCACTCATATCCTCCAATCAATAACCCTCTCATATATAAACCTCATAACAAACCCCCCCCTTATAAATAAACAACCATAAATAAACCCAACCCCTAAATACCATATAACCCATCTACCATACCATCAAACAACCACCTCCAAAAACCTAACTCCCTACCACTATCACTTTAATAAAACCAACAACCCTCACCACCTTGCTCCTATAAATACTACCAAACCTAAACCTCCCCCCCCCAAATAACAACCCTAAAACACACCCATAAAACCATTCCAAAAAAAAACAACATATATAATAATCTCTCATATAAATACAATCCCAACAACTATTTATCCACCCAATATCCACCCACAAATTAAATAAAAATAAATACTACCCCATACACCCCCTTATTCAAAAAAACAAAAATTCACAATAATCCCTTTATATCTACACAAATCCAATAATAATTCTATCCCCCAATTACTTCTTAACTCAAAACCAACAAATATCAAACCCCTTAAACACCCAAAAATTTTAAAACCCCTATCACTAACACCTTCACAATAAATATTAAATTCCCTACCTCTAAACCCTCTACAAAACATCCTCCAAAAAACCTAACTAAAATACATTATACCCCATACCCCATCTCTTCCTTTTCACATATATTCACTACCTCATATATTAATATACTCCTTAACCTTTTTCTTTCAACCTCACCAACATTACCCCTCAAACTTATTTATAACAAATCATTTACTAAACCAATTTCATTTTCAATTTTTATTATATTATATTCTTTAACATATATCAACAAAATTCTCTTTACCTATCTTTTAAACTTTTCTTTTTAAATATTTCTCTCTCTACCCCCCTTCCATCCATATTCTTTTATCTATTTCAATTTCTCTTCTAATCCCTAATCCCTCCCCTACAACATTCAAATTTCCATTTCATATTCTAATTTTCCCATCTCTCATCCTCTCTTACTCTTTCTTACATATTATTTTTACTAAACAAACCAACTACTACCAACCCAACCCCACATTAATTAATAAACATCACTTAAAACAAACAAAAATATATCAAAATATAACCCATAATCAAAACAATTAATTCCAATCCACAATCTCCAACCTAATAATCCTATACCATTACATTTAACCTTCCACACCCATCTATTTAAATTTCAAAAACTTAAATAACACCCACCCAAACCATTACATAACTACCCAAATATCAACACTAACCTATACCCTCTAAAAATCTACTCACCCCCCATTAATAAATAAAAATCCCAATACCCCCTACCCAAATCTAAAATACCTAAAAAACAAATAACACTTCCCCCACCCACACAACAACTCAAATCATATAACTATAATAAAAAATAATAAACAACAATCAATAATCTACAAAAAAACCACAAATCACAAAACCACCCATACAAAAACCAACTCCCCCCCCCCCCACACCTCCCCCTCACTCCATACTCATCATAAACCAATCAAATAAAAAAACACTCCCCAAATAAAAATACACTCATCAAATAATAACATAACATACATACCCAAATTCCCTACCCATCAACAATAATCAACATTCTCACAACACCTCCCCCACAACCACATATCTATATTCTCTTCTTAATTTAAAAAAAAAAAAACATAATCCTAACTATCCCCCTACACACCACTTCTTAAATTTTCCTCCTCCATTTAACCCCTCCAAACCCCCCCCATCAAACTATATTTCAATATCCTCTTTCAACAAACACACAACATAAACCAACTCTTCCCTTTTATCAAAACTAAAATAATTAACACTCCCCCCTTCATCACATATACCCTCCTACCAAACTAAACAAACCCCACAACCAACATAAAACTTTTATCCTCCATAACTTAAATAATCCCTCCTACAATATTATCTATATTCCACAAAACTATAACATAATCCCCTCACCCCCAAATTATACAAAATAATAATTAAACTATCCAATTAAAATATACAATAAAACAACATATTAAAACCATCCCATTTCACCCATCATATCAAAATAACTAAAATTATCTAATACACACATCATCTTAACAAATACCACCTACATCCCTACCCTAATTACTCCCACCCATTTCCCCCCTCTCACCTTAAAACATTAAAATTCATCTTCTTAATAATTCCAAATAAATTTAACCCATCTTTCTACTTATATCACTTCAACCAACCCCAAACATTCCAAACACCCAATATCCAATACAACAACATTCCCCAAATAAAATATAAATCCATAATCAATCTAATTTCCAACCCAACTAATCTACCAAATATTATCAAATATTCATACCAATCAATCCACTCCATAAAACATAACCATCAAAATCATCCACCTTTCATAATCTAATAAATTACTAATACCACCCCACCTAAACCCTAACATTCCAAACCCTAAATAATTAATTTCAAAAAAAATCACCACCCACCCATCACATCCCATTCTCACCCACTTCCCACCCCATAACCCACCCCCCCCTACTTACAACAAATTAAATATATACCCCCACCCAACACACCACACCTCCACCTTCCACAATACCCTTTATCACTACAAACTCCATCCCTAAACTCCTAACTCAAATCCCCTACCCAACCACCTACATAAATTAAATACTAAAATACATATAACCTCTCCAAATAACTTAAAAAAAACATATTTCACTCTCATACCTATATCCACCATATCCAACCCCCTCACCCCCTATCAAAATTACACATAAACCTTATTCTCCAAATTACTAATCTCATACAATAATAATCCCCTCATAATCACATACTCCTAAACCATATCCATCTCCCTTTTACTTAAATTATTTTCCATTTTCATTAAATCCCCTTATACAAATAAAAATAAAAAAAATTCTAAATCCTCCCAACCTCCATTCCATCAACCATTACACCTCCCAATCAAAAAAAACCTACTTAAATTTAATTCTTTATATCTTACTTTCAACCGTTTAAACACTCAATCTATTCCCTATTCTTCAATAATACTCATACATTCCTAACTTCCTTTAAAACATAATTCAAAATTATTTTTTCAAATAAATTTAAATTTTAAAAACCCCCAATTCTTCATTCTAACTCTCAAACCTCATATTTACCCAATATTTCATACCTTCTAACTTAATATATATTAATTTTATTATAATAAAAAACTTCCCCTCCTTTATTTAAATTATTCCTAATCACCTCATCTTAACCAATCTTACACTCAATTCCAATCTCAATCCAATCATAAAAAATATTTAATCAAAATCTTAATTCAAAATATACTTCTTAATCTTTCTCCAATTAAACAATTCCAACCATCACACATATCAAAATCATTCCAATCTTCTACAAAATAAAAAAAATTTAAAACCAAACAACCAAACCTTACCCCTTACCCAACCCACACCAAACTAAACCTCCTTCAATAACACAAATAAAACAAAACATAAAAACACCAATCATAATCCTACCCAATTTCTTTCCCTCTTATCAAATCTCCCCCCCATAATTAAACACCTCCCATATAACACCCAATAAATATCCCATAAATAACAATAAATATAAAAATATCCCTCTTCCCATTTCCCCTATTCTAAATCCCAAACCTATCACCAAATAATACTACTTCAACCCCATCAAAATAAATAAATCAACCACAAATTATTTCACCCATACCCCCTTCCATCTTATATCTTCTTACTTTTTCACATAAATAAATTCACTATTCAACTACTCTCCCTATCTCTTTCTATCTACTAAAATCTATCAATTATAAAAACCTTCCATCATCATTCTTCTATAAACCAAAAACCCAACTCCCTTATCCTCCTATAAAAAAATAAACTAATACTTCATATATACCACTCCTATAATACTAAAAACCAACCAACCAACTAACAAAACCAATACTTCATAAACATAATCTTTCTCCCCTTCCATCTCCCCATCCATTACACCCTCCCTTAATAATCCCTTCATCCCTCCACCAACAATATAACACACCCCCATAACCTTTTTATATAATATATCCACTTACCATTTCATCCCACAACCCTTTAACCCCCAAACCAAACTCATATCACCATACAAAAAATTCCCATATATCTTTTCATTTAAAAAATAACCTCCAACTCTCATCACTCATATCTAAATATCTATTTTAGATACCATACCCTATTTCATTCCTCCTAACCCATTACTCTATTCCACATCTCCTCCATAATCTATATTTAAACATAAACCATAAACAATTATAACATCCATAAAATCAAACCTTCTTCATCCCAACCCTATTACATCCAAAACATTAACCCTCATATATTAATATTAACCCCCCCCCCCCTCTTACAAACCTAAAACAATCACAATTCTCTATATCTAAACCAATTAAAATTAATCTATTTTCCACCCCCCTCCCCCACATCCCCACCCATAACAACAATCCCCCATATAACCACAATACAATATCCATCACATACCAAAATCCATTTCTAACACAACCAACAACTTCTAACCATAATATCAATAAAAAAAATCAATATAATACTTTTACCCCATTCTTATTT